GTCCAAGGGCGCTTCGAGTCTTCGAGTTTGGCAGCTGTTCCGGTTGTTTAGGGTTTAGGGTTTAGGATTTAGGGTTTAGGGTTTAGATAGAGTTTAGGGGTTCAGGGTTTGGGGTTTAGGGTTTAGGGTTCTAGGAGGCAGCTTCTGCCACAGCAAGAAGGCGGATCAACTGCGTTGCCCTTGTGTGGAAAATGGTGCCATGATAGCCTAAACCCTAAGCCCTAAACCCGAAGCCCTAAACCCTATAGCATGCTTCTTTGGGATGCATTGCTTTCGTATGGGGAGTTGAGGGTATTTTACAAGAGAACTCTGAGGGTCGAGGGCTGAAGCCTCGAGCCCCGCAGGGTTTAAGGCTTGGGGTTTGGGACTTCGGGTGTCGGGTTAAGGGCTTCAAACAGTTTGGCACCCAAAGCCAGCGCCAAACAAGATGGTCCCTAGGTTTCACCTGTTCTACAGAAGCCTAAGACCCTCAGACTTCAAGTTCCAGCACAGACCTGTCAAACCCTCTATTTGCTATGTCTTTTGTAAAAAACTAGTATTGAACTCTTACACCTAATTATTTATCATACCACTACTACTTTTTGCATGAGCCAAACCATTAAGATCCCTCATGTTTCATGTTCTTCGAACTCTTAGGGCTTAGGGATTTAGGGTGTTGAGTTTTGGGTTTTGGGGTTTAGGCATCGGGGAGCCTTCCCTGCCCCGCCGCGCAGTTCGATCTCGAGCCTCCGCCGCCCGCGTTCCCTCCGCCGGAAGGCCAGTCCATGCACCCCAGGCTTTGAGGATTTCTCCTAAACCCTACACCCTAATTTCCCTAATTTTCCTTAAACCCTAATTTCCCTAAGACTCGTATCCCTAAACTCTGATTTCCCTACACCCTCATATCCCTACACCCTAATGTCCCTAAACCCTACACCCTAAGCTCCCTACTTTCCCTAAACCCGAAACTCAGGCTTGAGGGTTTCGGTGCGAAGGATGGGATTTCGCCACAAAGCCCCAGCCGAGCATTGCCAGAATGCCCCCGAATATAGGGGTCGGAATAATTACCACTAGTATTCCCTTAGAGTCCCTTTAGAATTGTACGATAATGCTCCCTTAGAGCCCCTTTATAATTACCGATAATATTCCCTTAGAGTCCCTTTATTATTCTACTAGAATAACCCCCCAAACCCCTATTCTAAGTATTAAGGGCCCCTATATTACACTCGTGCGGAGTGCGTCCAACACCTTGAGGTGTTGGGCAGGGATGTTACGGGATTGAAGGAGGGACCCCTAGAAGGGACCCTGAATCTTGTTCCCCTATACAACGCCGACATATACAAACACATATACATATACATATACATATACATATACATATACATATACATATACATATACATATACATATATGTATATATATGTAGATATGTGTTATGTATATATATATATATATATATATCCCCCTTATGTTCAGTTCAGGGATATGGGGGTTTCCGAAACTAGGGGTACCTTATTGAAATCCTTTAGATACTATATATTGTTGTGTGTAGAACATCATGTAGTATTTTAAGAATATGGTCTACCCAAGCCCGTTCCTTCTTGTAAAGTTGACGATGCAGGCAGCGTGCTTTCGGACGAGGAACAACCACCACCCAGGCCCACAAAAAATAGTTTCGTGTCTACTGGGGCTGTGGCTTGTGGGTCGGAGAATGCGTGGGAGGTTTGCGGGGTTTCTGCACCTCGCTGGATGAAATGCTTCAACCTGGGCATCTGGGGATAGTGGCCAGTCCATCGCACACACACGATACCCACGCACGACACACACACACACACACCAACACACCAACACACACACACACACACACACACCTCTTTGGTCATCTGTCCCCGCACGCATGAATCTTTGACGCGTGTTTTATCTTTCAGGCGCCAGAGCCACGGAGCAGGAGGAACATATGATCTCATGCACCGGTCCAGGGATCCGACAAGGAAGCGAACAACTAGCCCAACAAGGCTGTGTTCCCGCTCTTTTTTTGCCCCGATGATGCTATGAGAAAACCTGCAAGATCCCCATCTTTGGAAGGTTGAAATGTTCGGGTACCCACAAGTAGGCACAGGCTGCAAGAGGCCCAACCGCGCAGAGAGGGTCTAGGTGAAGTTGAATGTACGTTCTCGGGCTGAGAAAAACCCAAGACCACGATCAGAGCCAAGGGCATTTCAGAGACCCCAATCGCCGCAATTAAAAAATCAAACACTCAACACATCGTAAGGCCCTCCCCCCACACATGGGGTATTGGAGACCATTTAGGACCAAAAAAGCACGCACACACACACACACACACACACACACACACACACACACACACACACACACACACACACACACACACACACACACGCACGCACCCGCACGCACCCGCACGCAACAGCACACACCCGCACGCACCCGCACGCCCACGCACGCACCCGCACGCCCACGCACGCCCACGCACGCCCACGCACGCCCACTCATGCACCCGCACGCACCCGGACGCACTCACGCCCACGCACGCCCACGCACGCCCACTCACGCACCCGCACGCACGCACGCACGCACACACCGAAACACCCACAACACCCACACATACACACGCACACACACACACACACACACACACACACACACACACACACACACACACACACACACACACACACACACACACACACACACACACACACACACACACACACACACACACACACACACACACACACACACACACCTACCTACCTACCTACCTACCTACCTACCTCATAGGCATGGCCAGAACCGGGGGGGGTTAAACTGTTTGAAGGGGACTGTGTTAATCCCCAATCCTGCACAGGCAGCTTGCTCGAGTCTACGCGTCGGAGGCAAGGGCTGCAGAACGCTCCCGTCCCCGGTCTCCCTACTAGCCCGAATCCTCACGTTTTGTCCCAAGCTCGAGTTCCCTGGGGCCATATATACTGATGCATATATTTACATCTCTATCTATGTCCATATCTAGATCTGACTATCTGAAGGTGCAGGGCTTGGGTAATCGAAACTGACAGGTTCTTCTAACCTTTCCCTAGCATAGATTGGCCATTGCTTGAACGTCACGTTTCAAGGACGGGGCCCATCGGGGTTTAGGTTTTAGGGTTCTTGTTTTTCTTTTCTTTATGTTTCTTTTCTTTTTTGTCCTGTTTTTTTTTTTTTTTTTTGGGGGGGGGGGGGTCTCAAAGTAAGGGGAGTCTTGTGAAGGCGTCCTTATTAAGGAGATTGTGCTCTATGCACGGGGTGCGCTGAAGGTGAGCTTGTTGCTAGGGTTTGGATCGTTCTGGAACAGGATTTGATCAGATCACGCTGATCCGACACCGCAACACACACGCTGGCAAGACCTTCTGGTTCCGTGCTGCCTCCAGACATGCTGACCAAGACCTTGTTCCTCTGTCTGTCAAGGATGGAGACAAATTTTTTTGGTTTCATGGGCGTCTGTGGCCCCGCCAAGAAGGGACCAAAAAGAGCAGAGGCCCATCCGTGGATCCGTGTCTGTGCCACTGCAGTTTCCCCCCTTCTGCGCTTGACCCTGTTGCCGCAGCGTTGCCTGCGTCCCCCCACACGGGGCTGCCGTTGGCAAAAAAGAGGGTCAGGCCAAGCGGGCCAAAACAATGGCCAGAAAGATGACCCTGAAGCCGCAGCCGCGTGATGGGGCATGAGTTTTTCATGCGGTCTCTGCTGGCCTCCAGGCACTTGGACTCAAGCCGCGCATTCCTCACGCTGGGGAACTTCGCACCAGTGTGATTGAGCACTACTGCAAGCATGCTGAATATTTCCAAAAGTCTGGAACGGACACGGAAGTTAAACAGCTGGGAGGATTATCTGAAGGCCCTCGCTTCCGCGTCAGCCTACGGTTCTGACCTTGTGCTGCGATCTTTTGCTCGCACGCGGAGGGTCCGCATCATTGTTGTCCCGGAATGATCAGTTCTCGCGCCTGAAGCGTATCACACTGACTGCAAGCGCTGCATTGCATTGTGGCTCACAGACAAAGTTGACCTCCTGCTTTCAGAGGACACGACCGACCTTCCTGACGTCCCCACTGCGTCGACTCTGATTCACTTCAAGGCTGGCGGTCTGTCGAAGGCCCCTGTCTGCTCAAGGCCTTCCACTCAATGAGCCCTGCCCAGAGCAAAACCGAACTTCACGAGAGGATGTCAGGTCGGATGCACCTGCCTGCTCACGGCTTCGGAGGTGTAAGGGTGTGTAAAGGGGGTGTAAGGGAGGGGCAAGGGGGGTTTTAAGGGTGGTTTCGGGGGCGTGTCAGGGGGGGTGTCAACGGAGGTTGCAAGGGGGGTGTAAGAGGCTTTACCAAAATGCTGCAATATGCATCACACAATGCTCGAAAATCTAGAAAGTGCTTGAGAATCCTCCACGTTGTTGAACAAATGCGCCAAAATGCTGTAATGAATCAAAAATGCTTGAAAATGTTTGAAAATGCCTGAAAAGGCTCCAAAATGCTCTAGACTGTTGTAGAAATGCTCCAAAATGCTCGCAAAATGCAAAAATCCTTGAAAATGCTCCAAAATGCTCGAGATTGACAGAAATGCATAGATTATTGCAGAAATGTATGAAAAATGTCGTATAATTGCTTGAAAAATGTTCGAAACTGCTAACTAAAAGTAGACTGTTGCAGAATAAAATGTTCAAACTGCTTGAAAATAAAAATGCTCGAAGATGCTTGAAAATGAGAAATGCTACAAAATGCTCGAAAGGTTTGAGAATGCTTCAAAATGCTCCAGATCGTTGCAGAATTGCGCCAAAAATGCTTTGAAACTGCTTCAAAATGTTCGACAATGCTCGAAAACGCTTCAGAATGCTCCAAATTGTTGCAGAAATGCTTCGAAATGCTTGACAGTACTGTAAAATGCTCGAACCAAAATGCTTTGGATTGTTGTAGAAATGCTCGAAAATGCTGCAAATTCCCAAATGCTCGAAAATCCTCCACGTTGTTGAAAAAATGCGCCGACACGGGCTTGACTACATCGTTCTCAATGTGTTCTTCTACGTTGTGCTGGAGTTCCTTTCTTGTGGCGAAAAATTTTCAGGCGGTGGTGAGTTTGAGTGGGTAGGGCTGGTGGTTGTGTCCTTGAAGCAGAGATCGCTGGAGGTTTCGGAGCGCTGCGCAGCGTGGCTGATCAAATGGCTGGACACGACAGTGAGCAGTGGGCATGCGCGAGTGGCAGACTTGAGGGCGGTCTTGGGGCGGCTATCCTTTGCTCTCACGGCGCTGGGGCATCTGCGACCATTCTTGCGGCCATTGTACGCTCGGATAGCTGTGCTTCCTAACGTACCCTCTGCCAAAGATTGGCTCCAGTTGGTCATCAGTGCGTGGGAGAAGGGGAGTTGATACGTCACGCTGTCGTTGGTTCTCAGAGAAGCTGACGCTCCAGAACGCACCTTGGTTGTTCGGGAGTGGGGAATCCTATCGTCTCAGTGCTTCGTTGGATTTGTTTGCGACGCTTGCAGCAGTGGTGGTATTTGGGGTTCCCAAAGCTGAGGCTGGGAGAACACAATGTTCGGTGGGCACCAACAACCTGGGCAGCACACATGTCGTGGCGCGCTTGCTGAGCACCAGTTTCCTGCTCTGCGCTTTTCTGATGGAGCTTGCGACGCAGCTGCAGCGCTCGGGTACAGAGTTGCGCTTACACTGGTTGCTGCAGAACCGGGAGGCGGATGCCCTCACGAATGGGAACTATGCAGGTTTCACAGAAAGTCGGCGGAGGCATTTCGACCTGCAAGAGTTCAAAGGCATTGTTCTGCAAGAGCTGTTGGGCGTAGGTCTGACTGTATATGCAGCAGGCTGCTTGCGGCAGAAAGATCCTTGGCAGTAAGGAGACTAAGCGCACTTGCCTTTCAGGTGGGGATTCACGTTTTGCAGTGCACCCTAGTCTCCGTTTTTTCTCTTTCCTTCATTTGCTAGCTCGCACAGGTAGGGTTGCGCTGCTGTTTTGTTCCAACCTTGGATAATGCTTCGCATCGTCGCAAGAAAAGAAGGTGCGCGCCTATGTAGGAAGGATGTTTGTGTCTCCTTCTTTGTTGAGTTTTCGTGCGTGAGGATCTCTCAAGTGTTCTTTCTGTTTCTTACTCTTGCCTTCGGAGCCTCGTTTGACGTGAAGTGACGAGGTTTGGGGGCAAGTCTAATTTCGTATTAGCCAACTTAAAACCACCTCGTAAGGCTCGACATCCTGAACCCTACACTTCAAACTCCCCAATAAACATCCTAAGATTCGTTTCTGGCGCTCACGAGGAACGTAAAGGTTCTAAACCCTAAACCCTAAACCCTAAATTTAAGAGCCTCCGGCTCAAGCCGCCGACCCCGCTGGAGCATAGTTGAGAGGTCTAAACCCGCTCGCATGGTTCGAAGATCATCCCAGCCTGCTCGGCAGAGTTCTGTGAAACGTTTGGAGGGGGTTAGGGGGCAAGCCAAAAAGACGGCGGGGGGGGGGGGGGGGGGGGGGGGGGGTGGGGGGGGGGGGAGGGGGGGGGAGGGGGGGGGGAGGGGGAGGGGGGGGGGGGGGGGAGGGGGGGGGGGGGGGGGGGGGGGGGGGGGGGGGGGGGGGGGGGGGGGGGGGGTTGGGGGGGGGGGTTGGGGGGGGTGGGGGGGGGGGGGGGGTGGGGGGGGGGGGGGGGGCAGGTTGGGGGGGGGCAGGTTGGGGGGTTTGGGGGGGGGGGGCAGGGGAAGGGGGGGGGGGGTGGGGGGGGTTGTGGGGGGGGGGTGTGGGGGGGGTGGGGGGGGGGGGGTTGGGCCCTACCCCCGTGTGCTGAACTGCCTGTTTACGCTGTGCGGGTGACAAAATTGTGCACCGACCCCCCCCCGCACACTGGTGCTGTAAGGAGGGAAAGAGGGAGGTTTTCACCTCCTCAAACCCATCCAACACGCCGCCAGGGTCGGCGGACCCTAAACCCTAAACCCTAAACCCTAAACCCTGAACCCTGAACCCTAAACCCTAAACCCCTACCCTACACCGAAACCCAAACCCAAATCCCTGGTCGGATTCTCGCTGCAGGTCTACGGGCCCGAACCGAGGACGTTGCTGAGACGCTGAGAGCCGACCCTAAATGGGGTGTTCCGAAATTAGGGTACTTTATTAGGTTCCTTCATATAAGGGGATCCTTCTATTTGGGGATCTATATCTGGGTCCCCTGTTATCGTAAACCCCCAAATACAACAGGTGATGATCTCTCTTAGCTGGCATGCTCAACCTTGTAGCGGCGTGTCCCTGCACCGAGCACTGATTCCGAGGGTGCCTTGCACCACCCCAACATCCAGAACTGCTCAGAGCGTAGTGAGCTTCTTTTGGGGCCCCCCAGCCTTGGTCCCGCAAGCACCACTGACCCGCTAGGACGTACTGGCTTTCACCACGGGCTGGCAACTTGCACTACCTGGAGGCTTTGGAGGTGGGAGTTGAGGTACAAGATTTCGGATCTCTTTGGGTATTGTGTTGAGAATCAGCGTCCCTTCTGCAGTCTTTCACAAGAACTCCTGTACAAGAGCTACCTTCCCCTCAGCTGTTGACTGAGACTCGCATGAGGGTTGTGCAAGAAGCCCCGAACCCGCCCGACACATCTGACCAACCCTACTCCGCAAAGCCCTACTCTGCGAAACTCGTTCGCCGAATGATCTTCTCTCACTTTTTGTTCCTTGCATTACGCAAAAAGTCTCCTAAGTGCCCCCACTAAGAGGGTTTAGGGCTTAGGGTTTAGGAATCCCTCTAAAAGACGGTCTTCGGAGTAGGTTTGCGGCGAGTGCCCAAGATTCTCTGTACATCAGTGACAGAGCGGTGAACAGCACGTTCCACTCATCAAATGTAAAGCATGCGGTAAATCCACCGCCGTGAAGCAGCAGAAATGTAGATTGCGTTGTCGGGTGGCTGGAAGTTTGATGTCCTTGAAGCATTGGTGGCAAGAAAGCTGCCGTGGCCGAGCATGTCCAACTACATCCACCCGTTTAGCGTCACCCACAAGCTTTGCTCTCAGGCTTGGTCAATTTCCGCAATGCTGCTCTTAGCAGAGAATCTTCTCTCAGCCTGTGTCAGCTCAGCCAGCCCTACATCTACTGCAGGCTCTTTGAAGTTTAGCCCTCAACCCGGTGTTTTTCCTTCGAATGGCAGGACTGCTGCTTCTTTGACATCGTCACACCCCCCTACGATGCTGCTCTAGGCCGCGACTGCACGCATCTTGCCTGCACTGGGAGCATGACATTTGACGGGGCTTCTCTCTAAATTATGGTCTTTTTTTGGGTGCCCCAGAACGGCTCCGTTCCGAATCAAGCCAGGACGTTCCGGATGTTGGAGAACCTGCGCTGGCAAGAGTAGACGACTGAATCCGGGAAACGTTTTCAGAAAAACACATCTCAAGTCATAAGTTGAAGCTTCAGCCTTAGATATGACTTAAACCCTAGACCGTAAAACTGAGGTATTACTATGCACACATCGACCTCGAGTTCGCATCCAAGGGTGAGCCCTTGGCCCAAGTGAGCTGTTGGCACTTCTCTTCCTTGTAAAAAGGGGGGGGGGGGGTCGTACCAGAGAGTCCAAGAAGCCTTGATAAATACAGGCTTCAGGCTTTAGGGCTTCACATACCTGAAAGCAAAGAAGGATCCCCTGATCATGAAATACGGCATCCTCCGTACGGCTCTCTGGGTATGATGTCAAGTCAAGTGTGAGTTTTTTTGTTGGGGCTTGGCCACGAGGTTCTAAACAACTGGACTGGGTTTAGGGTTGAGGGCCGGAGCCCGAAACCCCACGCCCCAAAAGTGGCTTTGCAGGATTTGGGTTTCTTGGTTCCTGTTTTGCTCCAGTTACGCCATCGCAGTTCTTGTTCTGGTTTAGGGTTTAAGGGAAAAGGTTTTCAAATATCCGGAAGCCAAAAAACAGTCGAACACTCGCAAGGGGTCGCGACGTTAGTTGTTTGCAACACGCGGCTCCAGAAATGAGCGGGCGTAGAACGGAAGGGGTCACATCACATGCTACGATCGAAGCTAAGTGATAGCAAGTCACTGCTGAGTTGATACTACTTGCCGACACTACGTTGGTTTCTACGGGGATTCTCTAAAGTATGGTCGCCTGTAGAGCTCCTATAACTGGAGCCTTCTATACAGGGGACCCAAAGGGCAGAAATTGTAGAGAATTCCCGCCCATCTCGCACCAACTTCATTCTCTAGAGTGATCTAGGAAGGTAGGCGGAACCCGCAGACTGAGGTTCTGTCCCATCCAGGTCTACCAGCGTGGCCCTTACAAATGCCATCGGGTTCAGGGTCTGGGAGTTTAGGGTTTAGGGTCTGGCATTTACTGCTATTGGTGACCTTGTCAACATTGCTCAGTGTAAACATGTTTTTAAGAACATATGTACATGTATTCGGTGTCCGTTTACCAATAGCAAAGCCCTACTTCACGAGATGGGGGTTGGCCGGGCCTTTTCTGGCTTTGACTCATTCGCGGCTCCAGATAACGAGCCCTCCGTAGAGTCCCTGAAGTTTCCTGTCACAGCACGAAGATCGCGCCCGAAAGAGAGCGAACTTTGCGAGAACGCGCGGATAGATTTGCTCCATCGGCTTTTAAGGGGTTCACTCGCCACTGCTCGCAAAAACTCAGGCTCAAACACTCAGTCCTGATGCGAGTGCTAACCACAAACCCAGAGAAGGATACTATCAGACCGGCCATACAGGTGATGGTCAAGCCTTGCACAAAAGCCGTATGCTTGCAGCAAAGAACCCCATCTGAGAGTTCTCTCCCCGCGGCCACCCAAGTTGGCTGTGTGGCCAAGGCCCCGCGGCTTCTACACACACCCGCTGCCCTACGGAGGCAGGCTTTGAGAGGTTTTGGGTTGGGGGGTTCTACAGAGGATTTCGAGGGCCTCATGGCTTTGCGAAGTTTGTGGAGCATAGACATAGAGACAAAGGAATTCGCCACAGCTGCTGGCAACTGTGCCGCAGATCCCGCCTGCTGTTCGTGCGAAGGTTTCGTTCTTAAACTCCAGCCGATCCCAAAGGAGTTGGAACCCTAAACCCGAAACCCTAAACCTAAACCCTAAACCCTAAACCCCAGGTCCCCCAGCATTGCATGGCCAGGTCCACGGCCAAGCTGGTTCAAGGCCGGTGCCAAGGTGCCATCATGTCAACATTGGAGAACTTTTACAGGCAGCTCCGAGCTTAATTAATGAAGTCTCTACGTCTCGATGTCTAAGCCTTTGCGTATTAATATAGGGGTCGGAATCGTTACTCACATGCCCTCATCGTCCCGATATAAGATTACCATAATACCCCCTAACAAATCAAATTATCAAGGCCCCTATATTGCCTGCTTCTTATCCCTGAATCACCCTAAGCCCCATGCTCGCTCTCGCCGATGCGGCCCAGCTGCAAAGGCAATATCCAACCATCACAAGAGACAAGCCTAAAACCACCGCTGCTTTCCTGGCCCCAAACCTGAAGCCCGGGTTGAATTGCCGTCTTCTTCGAGTTGGCTTCGGCTTTGGGACGGACGGTTTTAGGCTTCGGGCCTGAAAAGCAGAGAGTTTCTGGGTTTGGACGGGCTCTACGGAACTGTAACGAGTCCAGCTCCCAGCAGATTTCGCAGAGCGCAGAGAGAGAGAGAGAGAGAGAGAGAGAGAGAGAGAGAGAGAGAGAGAGCGAGGGGACCAGCTCTGGCACAGGCTTTCACAGCTGCGGATGGCGAATGAGACGTCGGAAGTTCTGAGTCCAAAACCCACTTTAAGAAATCCAGTCCCTAGAGCAACCCCAAAGTGTCCCGCTCTGCTGGCCTTCTTGAGAGTTTATGAATGAAGCTCTCTTACCCCCGCCCCCCCCCCCCCCAATTTATTCGACAAGCTGGATCTGCGGGAGCGCTCAAGCCCAGCTGTGTTTGTTGTATAACAGTTGGCGTAGACTTTTGGGATGTTTCACATTTTCCCTTATTGGGTTTAAGAGCATCACATTTAGGGAAGATTTTTTCAGAGGGTTTTGAGGGCCATCCTAGTGTATCAAGCGCAAAAAGCGTCACAAGCTGGCCACGTCGACAGCTGAAAGACGCGCCCTCTCCAGAAAAACTCCGCAAAGCGCCAGGACGCTTGAGGGCCGCTGCAAACCCTTCAAGTACTTGAAGCTGCAACATGAAGGGGGGAGGGGGGGCTTTTGGGAGTTTTTTGGTTTTTTTTTGGGCTTTGTTTTTCAGTGCCTGTTAAAGGGTTTTTGTTCACCAGAATTTTTCTGTGTTGGGGAGGGGTCGTGGATACGGCTGCAGGAACCTCGCCTAGAGCAGAGGCAGCCAGAATATCAACGTACTGTCCGACCAGGGCGCTCTCCAACAGATCCCAAGAACCAGGAACCCTTCTAAACCCTTATTCAGGAAAAGCAGGAAGGATACTGTTTCTAGTCCCCGGGATAGTGGGAACCAATAAAATCGGAAGCAGCTGAGGGCGCACAGCGCCGGTCACTACCACTGAGCTGTGGTTTTGCAGGTCATGTCTGCAAGAAGCTTGTAGGAAACACACTTTCATGGATCCCCCTACGGAAGTGAAAATTACAGGTAGACACTCAAAATGCGGGATCTTTTTTGGTCTTGGAGGTTGAGGACAATTCTCTCTAGACTCAGCCGAGAAAAGCTGCGACTGTGAGTCTTGACAGTGTTACCGCTATTCCCTAAATTCCCTAAATTCCCTAAACCCAAAACCCTAAACTTACACCTGCATCAAGGCTTCCGATGCTATTGCAGCCACACCTGCGGCTCCCAGCTCGAACCTGCACCAAGCCACATTAGAGCCACAAACTCGAACTCCGTGTTTTGCCACACCCTGAAGCTCCCTAGGGTAGCCCCAAGTTTAGGGTTGAGGGTTTGGGTTTGAAGGGTTTAGGGTTGAGGGTTTAGGGTTTGGGTTTGAAGGGTTTAGGGCCCCGCGACGCTTTGGAGTTTGATCAAGATGCTGTGAACCCGACGCCATGCAAGTCCTCGGTAGTCCGAAGGCGGCCTGAGACATCCGGGGGTTTAGAAGTTTACCCGAAGCTGTCAGCTGTTTTGGAGCCGTAATTTTGCTTACCGGTTCTAGGGAAGTACAGGCTACCTTCTTCCGAATTCCTTGCTGACACCCCACCCCCTAAACCATAGTTCCCTGATAGTCTCACGTGAACGCTTCGTTCTAGCCGCACCAGGATGCCCCAATCCAAGGATCTGGGGCAAAGGGCTTAGGGGTTTACGTACCTGATCCCTGTGACTGCAACGCCAGGTCGACTTCTTGAGTCTCCAACCACTGCCGAAGCCAGATGCCAGCGTCCCAAAGCATGTTCCACTCTTTGTTCAGCTCGGTCTACTTCAAAAGGGCTAGGGGGGGTGGGGGGGGGTTGGTGTTTCTGGAGTTTAGATTGCGGGACAAAGTCGAACAGTGGCATCTGCCCCGAAATCGCTTCTCCTGCGCCAGATGCGCAGATCTTTCTCAGAAACGGTGCTTGGGAAGAAGTGGGCAGAGCACATCTCCTTCGGAGCGGGAGGCCTACATGCAGCAGAAGTACGACGCCATGGGTCTGCGCGCGCCCAAGTGCTGCAGAGCCCTAAAGAGAACCCCCGCACGAGCGAAGTGTGCCCTGAACCGCACTCGGCAGGCCCTTGGGATATTGCATGATTGCCCTTCTTGGGTTTAGGAGGATAATATATACATATATAGATATATGATTGTTTCTCGCAGGGTTTCAAAAACCACCCTGAAAACTAGCTGCTCCGAACCCTGCTTTTAGGCCGGATCCTGTGGCCTTCGCTCTGCTCACTGCCCTGGGCGCCATCAAGGAGAGATCCCAGCAAGGGGTTTAGGGGTTTAGGGTTACAGGTTTAGGTTTGGGGTTTAGGGTTTAGGGTTTAGGGTTAAAGTTTCAGGGTTTGGGGTGGGGGGGGCCTTAGCAACAAACGGTTTAGAGCTAGTGGGGGATACCTACTGTTACATAGGGGTCTGTTATTCTAGGGTACAAAAAGGGGGGCCCACCCATCAGCCAGAGCGAGCCATATTGAACGAGCTGTTGCAGCCGAAGCTGAGCCCAATGAGCAGCCCTGAGAAGTTTCCCTGAACCCTAAACCCCAAACCCTAAGCCCTAAACCCTTGGCTGTTCTCGGGGTTGAAGTTTCAGGGTATAAGGCTTTTGGCGGTTCAGGGGTTTGGGTTGCTGTCAACTTTGCCCAAGCTGCTTGAGGACCCCATGGGCATGCTAAACGAGATGATGAATGCCGCTCAGGTCCGCTTGCGGCACTTGCGGCTTCGGGTGGCACGGGGCTATTTTAGATAACACCGTAGTCGAAGCCTTTGTCCACATTGTACCCGTATAGTGCCTGTTTGGTTTTTCATCCAACAACCCAAAATGCCCACTCGAATCGAAGAGGCCCTAGCAGGGCGGCCCAGGGGAAATCGGAGATCCTTCGAGGATTTCCGGCAGCTTGACCTCAGGCTTCAAAGGTTTGGTTTGTTTTTCCTCTTTGTTTTCTTGTTGGGGGTGGAGGGGGGCTTTGTTGTCTACACCCCAAGGTTCCCCAGGACTGCATCCCTGATGTCCTCCATGCCCAGAATGGCAAGTAGATCTCGAAGTATTTCACCAAGCTTGGGCTGCCATTTGCAAGTCTTTCTGCATGTGAAACTTACCATGCCGCTTCGCCTGTAAAACTGCCTGTCCTGATTTTTCCATTTTGCAGTGCAGCAAGCTCGCCAAGTTTCAAAACTGCAGAAAACGCGTGCAACAGGTGTAATAGCAACCTGAAAGCACCAGGATACTACATTCCTGCGACCAAAGGTCCCTAAGGGTCTCACGGAGACTTACCAACAAACGTCGTGTTTAGAGATTTGTGGTCGTTTCAGGGGAGGTCCCAGGAGGTGGGGGTCAAAACAGTGCCCATAAAGGTCAGACCGAGGATCCCAAATGCACGTGAAATCTCAGTTCTCCGTTCAGAACCACTCAGCAACGCCAAGGAGGCGGTGTGCCTGCGTGCGCGTGCACGAACCCTTTGTCTCTAGAGGTAGTCTGACAAATTGAATGTGTTAGGGACGTGCAAGTGCGGGTGTGTGTGTGGGTGTGTGCATGAGCGCATCCTTACGCCAGAACTGGAATGCCCCCAGAGGCTCTGCACTTGTCTTTGGTTCATCGGACCGAGGCTTTGGAAATCCAAGAGCTGCAGCGGAAACAGGCGCAGCTCATGGCTCGCAAGCTCTTAGACATTCTTTCAAAGGTCTTCACGGAAATGCACACAAAAGGGCTAACTGACAGGGCCCCCCCCCAAAAAAAGGGGACACTGACTGCTAGGGTTTAGGGTTTAGGGTTTATTTGCAAAGAAGCAAACCTAGTGAACTCTGGGAGGCAGCTTCACCCTTCAAGCCGGGAGGCCCAGGCATCGCTTGCCTATAAGGGACTTGCAACGGCATTCAGCAGGTTTAGGGCTAAGGGTTTAGGGCTTCGGGTCTAGGGTTTAGGGTTTAGGGTTTAGGACATCTGCGCGAGTTTCAATCCTTCGTAAGGATCCACAGGAAGCCAAGAAAGAAGAAGAGCTGCACTGGCCATGTTGAAGGAGATCCCTCCAAGACACAGGGCGTGGCTTAGAGACATCTGACTTGCAGGCTCCCTTAAACATCCTCAAAGTTTACAGGCTTGATGCCCGACATGTAGCCGACCCTCACTCAAGGAAAGGGTCAAGCCCTGAAAGCCAAAGCCCAAAGCTCTCCTCCCAGGATGGGACCGGTGTTGGCTGGCGAGGCCAACAACAGCACAAGTGGACACTGAGCAATGTCAGCAGGAGAAGCGGAGCAAGCCCCTCCCCGCATCCCCAAGACCCTCTACAAGCTGTAATCGAGGGTTTAGGGTTCAGGGTTTAGGGTTGAGGGGGGTTTCTTGAGGGCGCTCTATGAGGCCGAGCCCTCAAACCTGGCTTCAGGGCAAGAGCCTGGTGGTCCGCGGGGCCGGAAAGAATACTGATCATAGCGGAAATGAAAACAATAACACATGTTCATGCACACACACTCGAGTTTCATAATATTTGCTTTGTCCCACTGTGATACCCTTTCAATTGTCGATTTTCTTGCTTTAGTGGACAATTCTTCAAATACTGTCGCTCAACATGGTTTCGAAAATATTGCAACACATTTAATAATGTGTGCAATATGAACAGTATGCACAGAAATTGTTCCCAAAAAATTACCGTATTGAATTGTACCTTCAGTATAAATGAACAGCATACACAAAGTCTCGAACAAAAACATGCAGCATATTCTAATATGTAGGTCTCCTATTTCCTGGGCTATCAGAAAGGATGAGACAGGATATCCAAGGCATGCGGTAGGCAACAAACGAAGCACCCCACGGCCAAGCCTGGCATTGCAACTAGATTGAAGACCTCGCTAATGTGAGAATTTCGTTGCGAAATGACAAAAATCGGTTGGCTTTGAAACTGGTTCAATAGTAAGTGAGAGAGAGAAGCGAGCACATTTCAATCTCCGAAAAGTTGTTTCGGTTTGCCCAGCGAGGTCTCCAAAAGTTCACCGTGCTACTCAGAACTTTGCCTCAGTTGGCTTAAGAAACCAACAAAGCCTCACTGCAAAATGCTTCCGAGGCAAACCCCGGTAAATGCATTTCGCCAAACAAACGCAAAGGCCGCAAAGAAGCCGAGCATTTCTGAGAAAGCCGCGTGAGGTTCAACGTCAACTCCGTAGCAAGGAGGGCCCCTTCAAAAGAGATCTGCCAAGAGCCGCACGAACCCTCACAACAGCAGTTTGCTATCATCTACTGTTTGCTTAAGACCCCCCAAAACAGCTCAAAAAAAACTTCCCTGAAAGGGTAATAAGAGGACTATTTATGTTTGGTTTAGGTTTAGAGTTTCGGGTTTAGGGTTTAGGGTCCCTTTATGATTATACTATAATAACCCCCAAAACCCTATTCCAATTATTCAGGCCCCTATATTAGACATTAGACATGGGGCCCACCAGAAGGATGCGCGAGGCAGAGCCCAAAGCGACGCTTTGAGCACCCTGCAGATTCCTGCTTCCACTTGCTTGTACGGTAGTTTGGCAAACTTTAGACACGAAGCTAAGCTAGGACTCGACTCACAACCTGGGCGTCGGGGTTACCCGACCAAGACGTCAAGCAAAGTGCTGAGGAACTCTTGAACAGACTTCGTCCTCCCACTTTAGGTGGCTTGAGCACTCAAAGGAATAGAACCTGCGAACCCTAAACCCTAAACCCTAAGCCAAAATCCAAGCAAAAACTTTGGAGGCCTCGGACTCGGCAGAGTTGGAGCGCTTGGCGAAGCAGGTGCTCTCCATCTGGGGGTTTGCGAAAATCGGTGACCCCAATCTTGACCCCATTTTAGGGTTTAGGGTTTAGAGTAGGATCCCCTTAACAAAAAGGACCCCAATAAGGTGCCCCCAAGTTTCGGGAACCCCCAAGGTTCAGGGTGTTTAAAATCCCTAAACCCTAAAGCCTAAACCCTAAACATTGAAAACCCTAAACCGAGCTTCAAAGGCCTAAGGCCCCACCCTGGCTGTCCCCCGACGCACGCTGAGAAATCAGACGCTTGGGTCTCAGGATCCCAGATCTTCCAACACCCCTATACCCTAACTTATACTAAGGATCCTTATTGTGAATTAGGGTTTTTCCTTAAGTAAGGGGTTTTGGAAGATCTGGGATGCCCCTCCAGATTTTTGGTGCTCAGGTCGCAGCGTCAAAGAAATGCTGAAACAGGTCCCACGATCAAGCATTGCGCCAGTGACACCAATGAAGAGAAGGGTAGCTTCTGTTATAGTTCCATGGGGGGTTGAAAGGGGACAGCACTGGCAATTGTTCGGGCTCATTTTGGGGGGTCACACAGACTTCTCTCTTATGCGAACAGGTTCCCGTGTACCTGGCGCATGTGACCTCTTGCCATGAAAAGAGCCAGAAGCTGTCAGGTCAAAGAAGCAGCGGAGCAGGCAGAGCTCTTCTTTTGAGCTGAGTCTCTTGTTATTTTCCCGAGCAAGACATCCTGAACTCTAAAGCTAAGAGTCGCGGCAAGTGATCATTGATGTGGCGCAGGCACGTGCTGCAACTGTTGCCGGCGGTTTGGCCGTGGCATCTTGCTTCAGCACCAGCTGCCCAGAGGTTAGGGAGACAAGCAGTCGCCAGAAGTTCTCAAAAGCAGATGCCAAGCTGCAATGCAGCTTGCGATTTGCTGGGGGAGCCCCTTAACAAAGCAGCCAAGTGATTAACATCCTTCCCCTGGAATCCCCCAGAAAAAATTTCCAGACTGCACAAAATGCCCATCCTAATTAGATCGGGCCCCCTATGCTATGGTTTCCGTAGGCTTTGCGTTTTTGTTTGTAACCCAAGGGAAGATGCAAATAGTATGTTTTTGTTGTTAGTTTTGTACCCTGCACCCAGCACTCCAAGGGGGAGTTCCAAAGCCGCAGATCCCAAGCTCCCAGAATTCCCACTCCTCGTTTTGAGTGTGGTGGGTTTTGGGTTTAGGGTTTAGGGATCTTGGGCAGCCCCCAGGCAGATGCAGCTGCAAACTCCAAGAATGCGGAGCACTCGGTCTTCGAAACGTGTACTTCTGTGTCAGGGCTTACTTGAAATGAAGGCTTTTGGTCCACTGATACTGGTATGGGTTTTCGGATGATTGGCGCCCTCACCCCCACACGCACGTCACAGAGCCTATTCATAAACGAAGGTATAAGGCACTTTGCCTCACTTTGAAGGCCTGGCCAGAAAGTAGCATCTGAGTGCACATTGTTTTGGCGTTAATGTTGTGGGTGGAGGGCTGGGGCGGTTAGAGTGGTGGGTGGCACAGACACCCGCAGAGTCTAAGTACATCACGCTCACCCTGAAATCCCAAAGCTCTCTAAGGCTCTAAAGCGTGTTCCTAGTAGTAGAGTAGGTAACCTCCAACTTTTTTGGGGTAGTATAGTCCCCTTATCATCCCAAAGGTTAACCTTTAATTCGATATGCCTTTGAGATGCTCAGCTGAGGTGGCCCAGGCCTTTGCAGAGCTTGAGGAGGAAGAGCCCCGACAGGCAGGACCCCTATTTTTTGTACGGTTCTGGGCATTCTGGGGTCCAGGGTTCTGGGTTTAGGGCTTAGGGATTGCGGTTTGGAGCAATTTGGGCCCTGTGCTGGGGTAAACTTTCCCTAAACCCTAACCACAAAACGTATATCAACCGGGCTTCTCTTTCAAATTATAGACCCTTCCAGGTACGGACAACGGGCCATCGTTAATGGCCAACCCCTACATATTCGTGGTTGTCTCAGGGCTGCGATCCAAGAAACGGTACACTTTATTTTAGGCTGTACTTGGGACTTAAGGCTTTGGTATTCAGGGCTTTTTGCTGAACATGAAATTGCAATGTACCACAACACTACCATTGGCTTCAAATTCTAAGACCTGAAACACTCGAAACCTTGATTGTCAGTTTTCTGAGCTAACCCCTTTCGGGCACCGCAATCGTTCACTCACTTCTCTCTTCCAGTATATTATTTCTGCGGGCACGAAAAGAGAATTATATTGTGTGCCGGCGTGAAAAGATAAACAAAAGAGCGCCCAATTTAGTATTCTGTAGTGTAAGGGTGCATGAGAAGACTATCTGAATGACGGGCCAAATAAGAACACAATATGGGCCCGCTAATAAGAAGAGAATAATAGGGCGGTAGAAAATGACCAATAAACAGACCGCAGAACCTCCTCACACTCAGGCCCTCGGCCAGACTTTGAGCTCGCTGCTGACAGGCCCTTGCTTGTATGACAGGGTTTAGGGTTTAGGGTCGGTTTCAGGGTTCAGGGTTTAGGGTTTGGCTCAGGAGTTCAGTGTGTCGGGGCTGGGGTTCAGGGAGATGCCCTCCCAGGTCTTGCGGCTAACCATTGAGGGTCTAGGACCCGGAGTAGGCCCCTATTTCCCTGCTTTTGGGTCAGGGCTCCCTCATAATTCCCTGAAAACCAGAAATGGTACCCTTATTGCTTTTAGGCTACTCCCGGGTCTAGGGGTACAACGTGGTACATCTCGAGGCCGCGAAAAAGTCGCTGTCAGCAGCGACGCTCTCACTCTGCCCACCACTCTTGACAAGGCACCCTCGGGCTTGCCCTCGCACTGTTGCTTGCTACTGGAGTTCATAAGGGCAGTTGTATTTGTTTACTTGCAAGTAGGGCTCAGATGTCATTGAAGTTATATCCATGCTTTACGGCACTTTTGGAGCCGGTGAATCCCTCGGGTCTTGACGGCATATACGGTTCTTTGAGCCTTCTGTGCCAAGTGGCGCGAGCCATTGAAGTCCTAGTTGCGAAAGAACCTTGCGGCTTGCCGCGGCCCTTACCGTTGTAGCCTTTGGCACCAAGACCGAAAAAAGCAAGCAATGCACAAGGCCAGAGAACGAGAGCATTTCCACCGGACATCGATGTCTTAACCAGTCCTCGCACTGAACTTACCTATGCGGGCCTTCTCCACCCTTCTGGTCGAGGCGGCCTCTTGAAACCTGAAACCACACCCTTCTAGCCATGTTCGTTCTCGCACAGTTGCCGACTTCACTCGCTTACCTGGCAACCCTCATCGTGTTCATTCGGAGCTGTTGCTAGGTTGGAAAGATTGTCGAGGATGCACATGTCTTAAACAACCCCATGGCCGGTGCAGGTGGCCATCAAGCTTCCCCCTGGAGTTTCCGAGGCAGCGGTGTGTCTTGGCACAAGTTGCTGTCGGCGTGAGACGTAGGGCATTGCTTAGTGTTGGGTTTAGGGTTTAGGTTTTTGGTTTTACTGTTTAGGGCTTAGGGTTGTTTCAAAAAGTTGGTGGAAGTTTTTACACCGTCAGTCTCCAGTCCACAGAGTCCGGTTCAGGGTTGCTCGAGAGAAATTTCTTTTGGAAAAAGAACCTCTACCTGCCAGAGATGTCAAAAAAAAATCGCAACGGAATTGGCAAGTGACCTCCGGCGAGCGCTGTCCTTGTGCCGACAGCTTCAGAAGCCTGGGGCACGGACAAGTCTCGAGCAGCTCGGGCCATCCTGGACCCTTAGGCGCCCCTCTCCTTCTGCCTTTGTGACGGTCTATACCTGACCGGCAATGCCAAGAAGAGTTCTTGCGCAGCAATACTTGGGTTGCAGGACATGTCTTCGAAGATGAGAGGCGTAATGAAGGGTGAGTTTTGCTCTCTGGACCCAGAGCTTCACCCTTCCGAAAAATCAAAACCTCAGGGCTGGAGATGATGTCAACTCCGTCTTCACTGTAAACGAAAAATCAACATTACCGCAGCTGTTCTATGAGCCATGGGGTACCACATTGACTCGATGATTCAGCCAGTGTCACAGGCGAGTAGCACACACACATTGCGTCTGAGAGCGTCTAGATCTTTGCTCTCACTTCCGTTGAGGTTCTTCTTGCCATGGGTGAAAGAGGGTTTCCCAGTTGTGAACTTTCCCTTCTCTTGTCCTTCTTCGACGCTGAAGTAACACCCTTACTTTTCACTGGTCATGAGACAAAAGCAGCTCTGACCAACTTGCTCACCAGCTCCCACCCTCGTCGCTGATCAGCTGTGGGTCTTGCTCTTGCGCGGTGGCGCCACACGCGCTTTCCATAAATCCATGTCTGGTCAGGCCTCCGTGCTTTCCTTTGCTAGGATGAGATGCAGTCTAGACGAGTGTTTCAATCCTGGCCTTCTTGCCTGTCCGCGCCCCAAGTGAGGTCCTGTCTCCATCTCCTGAAACGCCTCGTAACGCAAATAGGCAGGCCCCTGGAATCTCTTACATGTTCCCTTACTGGGTTTAAGACCACCACGTGTGGGAATCTTGCCTTCTACCCTAAACCCGAAACCCTAAATTCCCTTACTGGCTTCAAGACTACCTTACTTGGGCATATTGCCTTAAACCCGAAACCCTACACCCTAAGTATAAGGGCCCTACCCCTAGCTCAGCGCCTTTGAGAACGAGCGGCCTCGCCTTTAAGGCGGCTGGAGTGTGCTCGCCATGGAGCAGCAAGCTTGGACCTCCTGTTGGTTTGGGGTTTAGGGTGTAGGGTTTAGAGTTTAAGGTTTAAAATATAGAATTTTCAAAACATTAGGATAGAGGGTTTAGCAGAAACCCTCTGTGTCCTGCAGAGACCTTGTAAAGGTTTTGTGTTCTCTTCGGAGTTCCAAAACTCGTGGCACCGTTTAGTCTTCCAAACCTTTGCTAGAACCAAATTTTAAGGTTTTTTTTTTTGGTTTATGGCTGCTGTGTATCGTGAGGGGCACATTCAATCAAGTTCACTGAGCATGAGCCCTCGCCTTTTGTTTCTTCGGATTGCAACGCTGACGCCGCTGCCGCTGCTGCTGCTGCTGCTGCTGCTGCTGCTGCTGCTGCTGCTGCTGCATTTCAAGGCGGCTGTTCCTCAAGCCTTCCGTGCAAATTTTGCAAAATGGAGGACGGCTTAGAATCTAAGGGAAGTTGCATAGTCCCTTCAGATACCTTCTTTCCCTGCCTGGGTGTTACCAGGTTTTTAAGCGGTCCGCATTTCAAGACCCATACAAAGGGACCATGAAATTTCCCTTAGATAGAGTTTTGGGTTTAGGGCTAGAAAGTCCTTTCACAAGAACGGTTCAAGGTCCTGACCGCTGTCGTCCTGGAGCCCGATGGCAGCGCTGCGCCTGGGGTCCCGGGCTCCTTTGAAGGGCTCCAGGCGTGACATGGATTAGAGTCTAGGATTTAGGCTTCAGGCTTTAAGGTTTGGGGGACTATGGCAATAGCCCAAAGTGAGCTTTCGGAGTTGTTCGTCAGAGGCTGTTTTGCTGAGGTACGTTTGCTTCGGTTCCTCTGACATGGCACAGCTGGCAGTTCGGCCAAGCACTCAGCGGAGCAAAGCATTCTTTGCGAACAACAATGCAACAGCCTGTGACCTACCAAAGTTCGAGTTGCGCAAACTAGGGACAAAATCGGGGTGCGAGGCGGATGGCCAACAAGAACGGCATCTTCGGAGGCCATTGCAGCAACAGACATTTGCAGCAACAGTTGTTGTCCACTGCTTATTTGCGTTCGCAAACCCAGGTCCTGAGCCATTGCAGATCAAGCTGATCAGCTGCGGGCCCGGCATGCCGTCAAGTTCGGAAGATCGGCTCGTCCCATACCTTCACTCCACTAGTGTCAGTCTTGACAGAAACAGGCCTGCGCACAGCCCTGAAACCTTTCATCATACCTTCATCATCCTGTCAACAGGGTTCTCTTGCAAGGTGAGCTTCCAGAGTCCGCTCGGAACGTCCCTGCCCGGTGCTCAACGCTCTTGTGAGTGATTCCTCCTACGCATCCACTGATGCTTTATTATGATTTGTTTTATTATTATTGCTGTTCTTATTATTCTTAATTGATATTATTAGTATTTTTTATTACTATTATCATTCGTTGAAGAATCTGAAAGAGTCTGGCGGAGGTTCAAGTGGCTCCTGCCTTCTCCGATGATCAACCTGTAAACCCTGCGCGAGACTGAGTGCACCAAAGCTGGGAAATGGGGTCGATGCCTTCATAAACAGTAACCTTTTTGGACAGGGCTAGAGCTATCTTCGAAGACATGTTCAAACGCCTCTCCTTTAGGAAAGGCAAAGCGTTCCGAAAGGAAACATGGAGAGTTGCATCCTCTCCACCCTGTAGCCCCTGTAGCCTTTTGTTGGCACATGTCGTAGTGCGCATCTGAGCCCCCGGCCCGAAGCCATGTTGAGCTGCCCTGAGACAGCACCCTTGCAGTGGATCATCAGCCTACACCCTGAACCCTGAGCTACCCAGACCTACCTCTCGTTTAAAGATCGTCAAAAATTCCCAAACGCAGATTCTCAGATCTTCTGACCCCAGATTCCCAGATTCCCAGATTTTCTCACCCTATCTTCAGAAATCTGTGCATCTTAGAATCTGGCAACATAGGGCCAGCAGATCTGGGAATCTGGCAGTGTATGGCCAGTAAATGTGAGAATCTGAGAATAGAGGGAGAGCATTCAGGAAACTTTGGGAATACACAGCAATTTTCAAAAATAGTATCTCTGTGAGAGGCGGGGTACGGAGGGTGAGAGTGGGCAGGTGGAGAGGGTTTAGGGTGCTGGGAATCATTCAACATAATGCACAAATAATATATTACCCCTTATTGTTAAGAATTTTGTAAAGAAATAAGATCTAGGAGTGAGGGCTTAAGCATTCATGCAATTCTCAATTCTTCCCCTAATAAAAACACTTTTTCTTGGAGGATCAGGGTGGAGGTGTGAACGTTCAGGGTGGTGGAGAGAGTGGGAGCTTAAGCACTCATGCAATCACTAAATCCCCCCTAATCATAATTTTGAGGGATTGAGGGAGGAGGGTTTAGGGTTGAGAGGGCTTAGGGTGCTGGATAGTTTTTTTTAACAATACAATTGCTTTAAACAATTCAGATGGAGGAGTGAGGGCATGAGTCTTCATGCAATTCTTAATTCTCCCCCTAAGAATGAAGTACTTTTTAACGGAGTCAATAAGTTGCGGTTGGGAGGGTTAGGGCCAATAATGAATTAATTATTATTTGGAAGGAGTTAAGATGGAGGAGCGAGGGTTTGGGGTAGGGGAGACAGGGTGCCAATGCTCACATAGTACATTAACGAAGCATGTTTTGACGGAGTCAAGGTGGAGGAGTGAGGGTTTCGGGTGGGATTAAATACAATACTCGAACAGTAGAAACCTCCCCCCCAAGTAAGAAGCATGCCTTAGAAGGATTTGAGTACTTGAGCCCTCAACCTTAGACCCTCACTCCTCCACCTTGATCTCAAAAAAATAGCTACAACTTTCACTCCTCCACCTTTATCACTCAAAACACATTAACTATTACAGGAATTCAATGATTCCATGAGTACTTCAGCCCCTCCACCTTAATCCTTCACGGTGGACATATTATGAGTAGATAATCTAGTTAATCCCAGCACCTTAAAACCTCCACCCTAAACCCTCCTCCACTTTAATCCATCAAAAACAATTGGAAGATTTGATGATTGTAGGTGGCTGATTTGATGATTATAGGGAGGTTGGTTAATAATTACATGAGTACTTAAGCCCTCAGCCCTCTACTAATCCTTGGAAAAATGCTTTAGAAAAGGCAAGGTATATTTAGTCCAAGCACCCTAAACGCCCCAACCCCAACCCTCACTCCTCCATTTTAACTCCGTTAAAAAATCTTATTCTCAGGGGAAGATTTCACAAGTACATGAAAATTTAAGCCCTCACTCCTCTTCATTCTTGAAAGTACATAGAAAAACGCACACGAAATACGTATAGTAAATCATGATGTTTAAATGCATAAACATCGCTTGGGGTTTTTGTGTAGGTAAGAGCCAAAAGTGCTGTAAATACCATATTACTCGTGTGGGCCAAGTAGAGCCACTGCACGAAGACAAGAATCAGCGTTATTTACGGTGTTTTCAAGAGACCTCAAGCACAGCAATGGACGAATGCACATTTCAAAAAAAGGGGAAGAAGCTCACAGGTGGGTCTGGGGGGCGGGTGACCATATATATATATATATGTTTTTTAGTTATTTATTTTTTTTTTGTATGTATATGCCTTTTTTCGGGAATATCTAGGGTATCTCATTCCCTCATTCCCTACTAAGACTCACTAGGTAAAGCCTCGCCCCTTCACCTCCAAGGCAGACCTGCCGGAGTACCTGAAGCCACGGAGGACATGCAGCCGAAGCCCGCGCAAGCCAGAGCCTCATGCCGCTTCTTGCCAGTTGAGGTTTCCAAACGTTTGGGTACCTTCAAGGATCATAAAATTTTCTGGTACTTGAGGGTTTCTCCTACGCTTGGGAAGTGCGCAGGCTTACGGGAGTGCTTGCTTCTGTGCCCGTGGCAAGTGCATAGAAATCAGAGCAGTGCTCTCTGCAACGTGGACCCTCGAGAAACTTTTTGAAAGGCGTGCCTCCCGCAGCGCGAGGCGCCGCAAGCGCAAGAGCAGGACGGTCGGACCAAAACAGCTTGTTGGATAGGGTTTAGGGTTTAGGGTTTAAGGTTTAAGGATAAGGGAAACTTGCATTGGAGGGGAGTACGGGGCATAAAGCCGTGAAGTGCGGACGGCGATCACATCCTGGCTTGCAAGTCCCATCTGCTGTAGACCCTTTGCCACTAAGTCCTGAACTGGCACCAGCTGCAACAGCCAGGAGCATGAAAAGATGGCTGGACAGGACGCTGCCCAACTTGACTGTGGCCACTTTGGTCGGGAAAGAAGCCAAGAATAGTGGTGAGGAGCTGGTTTAGGGGCTGCGGGAAGTTAAACCCGTTTGCACCGTTGCTTGTGGACAGCTTTAGCTGAAGCACATGATATGACCAAGTTGACAAGGAGCCGAAGCAACAGCCACACGGCAACTGGCCAATACATCCGTGCGACAGGCTGTTCTAGCACCGCCGGGCTCTTTGTTCGGGCTTCCCTCAAGCCAACAAATCCGAAGCCTTCCGCAGTTTTAATCTTTCACTAAACCCTAAAATTTGCAGCGTCAGTTGAATCATGCCCAGAAGTTATTATCTATTTGCGGCCGTTTTGCGCCATTGCTCCCACATCCCCAAGTCAACTCTTCATGCCAAGACGTCTCTCAATCGAGCACGTTTCATGCTTGTACAGCGCCCTACCTAAAGAGTCTGGGGGGCTCCCTGGGCACATACCTGTGTTTTGGAGTCGCTCCGGCGCCCTCATCTGCCAGCGTCTCTTAGGACTAAGGCACCCGACGCAGCGCATGACAGGATTTATGGGCCCTGGGTTTTGTTCCGGCTACTCGGTTCTTCAGCAAAGCTGAGCCGAAATCCTGACCTGCTCAGAAACATCCCGGAAACCTCAAGTGCAAAGTTGTTGCTCGCTTTCGGGGATCGGGGCGCATGTTCGAGATCCTCTGTCAGCAAGATAGAGGATCTACACAATTCCAGCACCTCAGCCATAAACCCTTGTCCTCCGTGTGGTCGCTTCTTTCAATCATTCCTTTGGGATACCACTTCCGACGCACCCGCAGCCCCTTGATATTTAGGGTAGGGGAACCAAGGAAAGGTCAATTTAGAGAACCGACCATGTCTAGACGGATTCCTGAACACTCAGGTCCGTTGGTGGGAAAAGCGGCACGGAGCTTACATGAAACCCGACTATATGATAAATAAACAAGGACGGTCCCTGGGAAAGTAAGGATTACTGGCATGTTGTATAGTTTAAGAATCCTAGTGTTGAATGAGGAAATTCCTCGTTCTCAGTGCATCCTTGGCCCTCGGCATCCGAAATCTGGCGGGGCAGAGGAGTTATGCTTCTTTCGAAGCAGGTTGGGTTGTAGGGTCACACTTGCAGATTCGTGCTTTCTGCTGTCAAAGGCTGGTTAGCAGGTGCCTACATGTCATTCTCGCGACCTGAAGTCCAAGAAGACTCGAAAGTTTCAACCAGTAAAAGTACAGGCGGCTGCAGTCCTGAAGCCAATAATCAAGTCCCACAAGCGTCTAAGTGACTAAGTGTGTTGTGTTGATTTGAAAGGTTGCCGTTGTCTTAACCCAGGTGAGATCAAGCGATAAAAGACCACAGCCCGAAAGATCTTCCCAGGCGTGAAGACAGCGATTCGGACCGCAGCACGGCGAGCCGCAAAGTCAAGCGTGCCCTGAAGGCCCGTGCGGGCATCTGATTTGTGTTGGTTCAGGTTCTACCCTTTGTGCGAATGGGGGGTGATCTTGGAGTTCGATGTTGAAGTTGTCATATTCTGTTTATGATGACCATGAGTATCAAATGCATATGATGTTGATGTATTTCCTCCTTTGGTCAAGGTTCACGCTCCGCACGGATTCCACATTTGTTCAATCAAAGTGGTTTCGGGCGCCTGAAAATCGTGTTGTACCACTGTTTGGAGGTTCCTACAACAAGGGCTAGCATCAGGGGCGCCCCTGTTGTGGGAAAGACCCATTTGTTCAATCGAAGTGGCCGGCAAATACAGCGATGGAGCCTGGGTGCATCGTTAACGTTTGCATGGCTGCATGGGTCGCGCCGAGGCTTGCCCCTCGGAGGGGCCCTCTTTAATTGACGATGTTGGTGCTTACTTGTGCTTTTTGTTTTGGCGATTGGCGACTTGGTGCAAACATATTGAGATACCAGCCAGGCGGTGCATGCTCAACATGGGATGGCACTCCGAAATTTCTCTTTCTCGGGATCCTAAGCTTACCCACGCTGCGGCTTCCAGTCTTTAGCTCTGCACAAGAAAACTCGGACAACTCTAGCAGCGGGAGACCAAAGCTTAGGCTTTGGTGCGTACTGTGACCAAAAAGTGGGCTGTCAGCGCCACGAAAGTGGCTACCTGTCAGGGCCACTTGCGGGAGTGAATGTACGTCACGGGCCACGAATCGAGTGAGGACGTGATCCAATTACACCATGTCGCCGCACGGTCGGCGGCGCGTATCGTTCTGCTTCTGCCGTTTCCAAGGGTAGGTTTGAGCCTATGTTGTAATTTTTACTTCCTGAATCCCTAGGTTTTCCTGATAAAGCACAAAAAGTTGAAACTTTTATAGGGCCTCCTCCAAACCTACCCTGTGAAAGTCGACCAGCACTGGTCTTGCTTAAGCCAAAGCAAACACAGGCGGTCACGCTGTTTTCGACTTCGTGGGTCCAAGCTCAGTGTGAACCTACGACCTGGCGTCCGGTCGGACCGCACAGCAACCTAAAAGCTGCTGCGCGAAACTACCGTGCGCAAAGGCACAAGTCTAGCTCCATACTTGAGCCAAAACTGGCGTTCAAATGAATTACTAAACAAGTGAAAATTCTATTGGCTGCAGAGTCACAGTTGCACACGCACTCATGTCTGCTCACATTCACCCCGCAGTCGAGGCTCCGGTGAATAACATTACGCAGGAGGGGTGAAACCGTCGCGCGACACGGGTGGTGCCCGCACGAACATCAGAGCATCAGGACACTACCTCGGCACGCACGAACGGCAACGATCCCACGACCGGCAACCCACCTAACCAACCATCCAAAACAGGGAGGCGGTCCCGACCTTTTAGCACGGCCGGTGGTGAGGCTCCATGCTCTGAGACTTGAGTGCTCGTGCTACTTCTGCAGCTCTTAGGAAAACTATGGTACACTGCACATTACAAGCCTAAGCTACGGCTACGGCTACGGCTACTCTCCGATCGGAACTACACTACTACGGAGGTCCCAGACTCGGTGGGCGCATAGCCGCGACTGGGATGGGCCACAGGCATGGCTGCGCGGGGAAAGTGGCGGGGTAAGCAAAAGGGGCAGGTCTCCAACCTGCCGCGGCATTACGCCCGCAAGCAAAGCAAAAGTGTAGAAACACAAGTGAAGCAGCGAGCAACGCTGCGATACAGAAAGAAAGCACGAGTGATGCAGCGTGCCGTGCCGCAACACGGTGCCACACTGCGCCTGCAGGCCGCAGCTTCACTCAACCCCGGCTGGGATCGCTTGCTGCGAAGAAGCTGTCGGGCCTACATTGCTGTTGCTGCTGGAAGCCCTCTCAAGCTGAGGGCGCCTTGCCCCCGCCTCATCAAGGATGAGGGACTCAGAAGAGATCCTCTCAAACTCCTCGATGTATGAGGTGACGGCGCCGCGCGACCTCGCGAGCTCGAGTCGTGCCCCAACTTCGCGGCTAGCTTTCGAGCTGGTAGTAAAGTTCAAGCTACCTACTATAAGCACCGCGCCGTCAGGCCGCAAGTGGCAAAGAGCTTTCGCATGGTGGAGCCCCGCGAACCTCGGCGCCTGCAGCCGCCAGGCGTTTCAATGTCTGCGGCTAACGTCTGCGATGATCCTCGTGGATGCTCCCTTGAAACAACGAGCGAGGACAGTCGAGACTACAAGTCCTGACAAAAAGCGTGTCTCCGGCCGCACCTCCTGGGCGGCCTGGACGTACGACCCACCAGTCAGGAACTCCACCTCTTTTGCTGGGGAATGGGGTCTTGGCGACCGACCCTGAAGCAGTCACAACCGACGCGGCTGGTTGGTCCCTAATGGGCTGAATGGCGCTTTGAGCAGCGGGGGCTGCGGCCTGGACACGACCCGCAAGCCCCTAGAAACACGAGAGCTCACGGCTTTTGGCAGACAGCTGAGAGAAACACTTCTCGTCGCTGCTCCCACCTTGCCCCGCAACAATGCGCCTGAGGCGGACCTCCTGACTGCGTCCATTTACGCTAGGTCCGCGCCTCCTTCGGCCGTGAGGGAGACATGAGGCCTTGGGCCGCAGCCCAAACACGTTCCTTTTGCGGCTCACCACCTCGAACGTGGCCTCGGAGCCCACTAAGCTGGACAAGGCGCGCCTCATGGGCCGCACCATTTCCGCGCTTGATGTGGGCAAGGCGGTTGATCAGGATCGCCGCACGCACCAGCACCACGAACAGGGTAATGGTCGTACCGGCGACCCAAACGGTCCGCCTGGCACCCTGGCCCACCTCCTCGTGCTGGGCTCCTCCACTGGAGGTCTCCGACGTTTCAGCGGCAAGGCCTCTATCATGCCTTCTACGCGCTCGTCTTGGGCCTCTTGCTTCAGGACAGTGTCCAGCTCCTGAAGCTGCTGCTCCGCCACTTCAAGGATGCGACTCTGCATCCTTTGAGCCTTGAGAAGGCTGTCCGACGCTGCTAAGTAGTCCTCGGCACTTTGCCCTGAGGTCCGGCCACTTCACCGCGGCTGCCGGCGCTCGCTTGAGTCTCGGGTTGCCCATAGCCTTCTTCTTTGAAGGAGGCTTTCTTCGGCTTTGCAGGGTCTTTGGGCTTCCGACCCCCGGCCTGGAAACGACTCGAAGCACCACCAGTGCCAACCGCGGTTAATAACCGACCTGCAGGACCACTTCCGCGAACTTATGGCCGAGTACACTGAATGAGAGATGGCCCTGTGAGCGGCCTCCCTCTGCTCGTATTCCAAAACGAGCACTCTTCCCAGGTCTGTGGGCCTCGCGGGCCGCCATCCCTGGGAACTCCTGCCCAAAGCCACTCCTAATTTCCTTCTGAAGATACGGCGGCATCTTCCTGAGATAGGAGAGGTAAAGCTCTCGGGACGTATTGCCGAGTCCGACCCCTCTGAGTTTGCGATGGAAGCCTTGAACAAAGGCTCGAACTGGTGCCCCGTCAGCTTGGTTTTGGTGAGGGCGGCATGCTCGCCATCAACCCGCACCTCTCGCTCCTCGCGAGACTCGCCGAACATGAGGTGCTTGGTCTTAATGC